GATCTTTGGTATTCCGTAACTTTCCTGACTTCTGAACTTCCAAAACTGCTTTTTCTCATCCATAAATGACCATTTATGATAGTGCATAAAATTTTGAGTGATTAAGAGTTTTTGGAACGTTTTCGTGACTTTTGGACAACCATAATCTCTCAAGACTTGATGTTAGTAGTGTTGATGACTTTTATGACCTTTGGAAGCTCAAATCCGACTCAATTCAAGGATTAGTGGTCCATTATTGTATTAACACAAAGTTAAGGTGATCAATTGGTTATTTTTGTATAAGTAGGATCATTATCTTGAGAGAAAAGGGTGAGACAACTAAGGGTGACACTTAGGAGACTCATCATTTTTCACTTGTTACTTCTACTTTGTAATTTTCAACTTTTGTGATTTTTCTCTCATTTGTATTTCTCTGTTACATCGCTCTAATGCTTTGTTTTTCTTTTATTTAATGATGTTTGTTTCAATTCAGATTGTTTACATCTTTCTTTTATTTACTTGCATGCCATGTCTTTCGATTGTTTAATTGTTGTTTACCTCACCATGTGTGAATAGTCCTATATGGGCAAGAGGTTATGAGAGTTTATCTCATGATGATACCTAATTGATTACCCGAGTATGAAATACGTTAATTATAAGTCTTTTTATTTTAGAATCTGAATTCTAAAAACACGTTAATGTCGGTTGTGAAAGGAAGGTCACCCCAGATACGATCACGTACTGAAAGGTAATGAATTGATATCGGATTGCAGATTGCTAAACAATTGAGTTCGAGGCGCCACTAACAAGGTGGCTTTATCTCATTTGAGAAACAACCAAGCATCAGCGTCGCGTGACAAGGCTTTTTCTATCTTGGTTGAATCGTTTAGCTATGCCATAAACACGTCTAGATGTGCACGCCACAGAAGTGGGCGTCACACATATTTATCTACATTTTCTATAAATAAACTTAGAAATTCTTGTGATTCAAACATGTATTGTTGATAAGGTGAGTCTGGATACAAAACCACAATCACATGTCCTGCTTTATTTATCTACTAAACTTTATTTCAATCTTCACCAAAATCAACCAAAAGTTGCAATTTCTTTACCTAAACAACATTAAAATAAAATTTGGTACTCATATACATCTTTATGTGGGTTATATTTTTGTACTACTTGACAACATCGTGCACTTGTGGTTTGGTAACTACGCCTAACCAACCAAAAATCCTATATCAAACACTCGAAGCAAGGGTACAAGTAACAAAAAGGTGGGACTCTGACTCAAGCCGATCTCCGCACATGGCGTGATAGGTAGCCTCGGGATCAATTAAAACCTTTCTCTTAAAGAGATTTTCTTTGGTCGGAAATTGATCTTACAAAACCTGACAAGAGAAGACTTTCACCTTGGAGGGGTGCCAACTATCCTATATCAGAGGAAGGGTTGAAAACTCCTTCCTAACATGGTTAACAGAGGGAGGCACAAATTTAAGTTGGAGATGGTAAGTAGATGTCATTGAAAAAAATATCTTTTTTATTATGTCTCCAAATGAATGTTCATTAAGGTCTTCAAAATTTTCACTAGTATCTTACTGAAAGATAGGAAGAAAACAGGAACATCATAGAGGACGAAATTTAGGAGGAATGCTCTACCCTCTATGCTAACATATCTATGATGCCAAGAATTAAGCATTTTTCGCGAAAAATTGACAAGAGGATCTCAAATGGATTTCATCCAAGAATTTTTTCCCCCACAAGAAACCCGAGATACTGGAAGGGGAGAGACTCAATCCTAAAATGAAGAAAGTTTTCAACTAGCTCTATGAAGGAGGAATCTACATTTATCCCAATCATATTACTCTTATGAAAATTAAATCAAGACCTGAAGCTAGGTTGAAACCCCTAAGAACAACTTTTATGGTCCACGGATTCTCGAATGGAGGCTCAAGCAAGATAATCGTATCATCAACATACTAGAGATTGAAAATCTCAAGACTAGATGAACCAACTCTAAAACCACATAGAAGTCTCAAGTCCAGAGCCCTCGTGACCAACCCATTCAGGCCTTCGGCCACAAGGAGGAAGAGGAATGGGCAAGGGGATCCCCTTGCTTCAACTCTCTTTGGATTTTAATTTCTTGGGCTGGAGAGTTGTTGACCAACACTGCAAGATTACCCGAGAAGACAAACGCTCTAATCCAGGATCTGCACTTATCATTAATATCAAATCTTACAAGCATATACTCCATGAAGCTCCAACTTCCCGAGTCATATGTTTTCTATAAATCGAGTTTAAAGATAAGACAAACTTTTCTAGAGCGTCTAACCAAATCGGCCTACTAGTTAATCGCCACCATCCCATCAACCGACATTTTACCTTTTAGAAAAATTGATTGAAAGGGAGTGATAATCTTATTCATCACCTCTTCCAATCTCTTGGCTAGGACTTTGACTACTAATTTATACAAGGAACCAACAAGAGAAATATGCCGAAAATCACTCACCAGAAAAGGATTCTTAACTTTGAGGATCAGAGTCACAAAATAAGATACAAACCAACGGAGAAGCGATACAAAACAGTGGAACTCATAAAACATAATTTCATCATCTTTTCTAATAGACTCCCAAATCTTAAGTTTGAATTTTGATTATTCAATTTTGTCTAATCTTTTACACCCCTCTAAAAAAAAGTGTTTTTTTGTTAGTACCACAGTCAAATTTATAATTATATCCTTGTCGTGTCTTTACATCCACCCCACAAAAACCAATTAATGGTATTTATTTTACTATTGGAAATAATATAATTAGAAAGTGTAGAGCTATAATATGCATGTCATGCTTTATTTAAAAGTCTACACCAAGAGTTGTCCCTTTTCTTTACTACTGCTAAAGCAAGCACTAAAGAAGCAATTCCCTTCTGCTTTTTGTTAAAGTGTATTGCAGACAAGTAGATATGATTTGCTATTGATTATTAGCTCTAATATACATTTTTAGAGAAAGGCATTAAAGATAATCAATCACACTTGTTTTATTTATTTTCACTAAATTATTGCTCATTCAATATGTGCCAACAACTTTTCGTTCCTCAGTAAATAAGACTACATTTATGTCCTGTTAGGCTTTTGGGACCAGTCAATGTGTTGTACTATATATTGTTTTGAATCTAAGCTTAGAATTGATGTATAAGAATGTTAGTTTTTGTTTCTTTGGTTTTGTATAATCATAGTATCGATAACAAGTATTTACCACTGTTACACGATTAATCTCCGTTGAAAAATCTGTTTGCACACATAAAGTAAGTTTTTCCTGCTAAATTTGAGCTTTTTTTTCACATTAAAAAACAAGTATCAAACCATTTTTAAGTGGCATCACTGGAACTCTGCTACTCTACATGCTTATTCTTTCTATCATATACTTTAAATATTATATCTGAGAAGATCTTAGCATATCACATTAAATGCATATTTACATTGAGAACTCATCAAAACATGAAAAATTGCAATGGAAGATCAGAATTCCACCATGTATGTATATTGAAAACTAGACTCCAACTTGAACACAATAATTGAGTAAGTGGAGGAATAATTTGCCACTTGGCTGGGGAATCCAAATTAACTCAGCGGTGTTCAGATGTATTACATGCATTCTGTGAATGTGGGGACACATTATCAGAGATTTGTTTTCATGCAATGCATGAAACACTAAATAACCCATTCAAGAATTTGTCCTCGTAGAATTTCTTTAATCCTTGATAACTTGACTCACCATTTTAAGCGGTTGATCAGATTTTTCTTGGCCCAATATTATGGTGAATGGTGAAGTCTGTGCTTGGTGCTTATACAATGAGAAAGCATTTATATCCAACCAACAAAGATTGATTCACTTGGTAAAAGAGTTTGACTCATATCACACAAATATGATCTCAATGTATTGCTTATGGTGTAAAAATCTTATCAGTAATTTTACGTAGTTATCTCTTTACGTAGCGGTGACAAAACAGATTCAACTTATTGAACATGTCCGTTTTGCCAATATTTTTTTAAGGCTGATTAAAATTTTAAATTTTCATCTATAATCTGTCGGCCGCACCTCACCCTCATTTTTTTAGACAGGGCCAAGATAAGTGTTTGTTTATAAACTATCCATAACTTCAGCCCATAAACAATATGAGTTTTTAGTGTACCAAAACTGGGGTGGCAAATGGCTCGTCTTGTTTAGATTTGTCCTGCAAAAGTTTAAAAAAAAGAAAAAAAAAAGTGATTATTGTAGATATTGAGAATCTAAAATCTTGACTCACCTTGTAAAAATATGGTAGCGTGGTGGGTAGATATGCGGACCTTGCACCCTTAAGGCTAAAAGTTATAAAAAATATTAGTCACGGCCACACTAACAAAAAGTCCAAAACAAAAAAAAAAGGCGGAACACATAAATTAAAGGGTATGGATCTAAAATTTTGATCTGTCCCAAAAGAAATTTTAACAAAACAAATATGTCCGTCGGGTTGGGCAGTTTTGCCCCTAACCAAAACAGTAGGCCCAGTAAAAGTTAAAGAGCTAAAGTACATGTAACTTTTAGGCTCCTAGTATATTATTTTTACTTTTAGTTTTGAATATAACTTACCTTTTTCTACAAAGAATCCAATTTAACTTATACAATTGAATAATTGAATAAATGTTTCATGGAAAAAGGAAATATTGATGTCCTTTAACAACATGGCCCAACTCATTGGTTAGTGTAGCTACAAGAATTATAAGTAATTACATAAAACACAATGTTGGGTAGAGTCAGAGAAACCATACCCATATTAACTCCATTCACCAAACAAGAGGTAGCTCTTTTAATTCACCATTCAATTTACACTCAACAATCCAACAAGAAACAACCGTTCACCTTTATTTCCTCTGTGCACTGCTGTCAAACAAAACATAACTCACTACCCTCTTTATTACTACTAAACTTTCTTCACCTATCTTCTTCACTTCGAAACCAAATGCTTCAAAAACCTTAGCTTCTTTCTTCATGGCTAAGTATCAAATCACTCCAATGGAAAAAATGAGTTCCATTCTAACAACCTGTTTCCTCTTGAGTATAGTTTTCCTTTCTACAACAAATTCTGAGTTTACCAAAAACACTTACATCATTCAAATGGAAAACTCGGCGAAACCAGAAGTGTTTTCCAGTCATCTAGATTGGTATTCATCAAAAGTAAAAGCAGTACTGTCGAAATCAGTAGAAGCTGAAATAGACAACAATGATGAAGAGAGAATCATTTATAGTTACAGCACAGCTTTTCATGGAATGGCTGCTAAATTAAGCGCAGAAGAAGCAAAAAAGCTAGAATCTGAAGATGGTGTTGTAGCTATATTCCCTGATACAAAGTATGAACTACACACTACAAGAAGTCCTTATTTTCTTGGTCTTGAACCGATTCAAACCAACAACAGAAGCTGCTCGGAAAAACTAGTTAGCCATGATGTTGTAGTTGGAGTTTTGGACACTGGTATTTGGCCTGAGAGTGAGAGTTTCAATGATGCCGGAATGACACCTGTACCTTCTCATTGGAAAGGTGCATGTGAAACTGGTAGAGGATTCCAAAAACATCATTGTAATAAGAAGATTGTTGGTGCGAGAATTTTCTACCATGGATATGAAGCAGCAACGGGTAAGATTGATGAACAAGCTGATTACAAATCACCAAGAGATCAAGATGGTCATGGAACTCACACTGCAGCTACTGTTGCTGGATCTCCAGTTCATGGTGCTAATCTTCTTGGTTATGCTTATGGAACAGCAAGAGGAATGGCACCAGGTATTACGAATATCTCTTGTATTGATGACTATGTAGTATCCACATCTCTGAAAAAATGTGTCAGTGACTTGACATCGGCACGACACTGATACACTGATATTTATTCTTCGTTTTTATGGACAGGTGCAAGAATTGCAGCTTACAAAGTGTGTTGGACCGGTGGATGTTTCAGCTCAGATATTCTATCAGCTGTTGATACAGCAGTAGCGGACGGAGTCAATGTTTTATCGATCTCTTTAGGTGGTGGAGTTTCATCTTACTATCGCGATAGTCTATCCGTAGCTTCATTCGGAGCTATGGAAAAGGGTGTTTTCATTTCATGTTCAGCTGGAAATTCAGGACCTGAGCCTGTGAGCTTAACAAATGTTTCACCATGGATCACAACAGTTGGAGCTAGCACAATGGACAGGGATTTTCCTGCAGATGTTAGCCTCGGAAACGGAAGAAAAATATCCGGAACATCGCTATATAAAGGAAGAGCTATGCTCTCGGTTCGAAAACACTACCCTTTGGTATACTTGGGAGGTAACTCAACTAGTCCGGATCCTAGATCTTTGTGTTTAGAAGGTACTCTAGATCGTAAAATCGTCGCGGGGAAGATCGTGATTTGCGATAGAGGAATTAGTCCTAGAGTTCAAAAGGGTCAAGTGGTGAAAAATGCAGGAGGTGTAGGAATGATTCTCACAAACACAGAAGCAAACGGTGAAGAGCTTGTAGCAGATTGTCACCTAATTCCAGCAATAGCAGTAGGAGAAAAAGAAGGCAAAAACATCAAACAATATGTGTTAACAAACAAAAAACCAACCGCAACATTAGCTTTTCTAAACACAAGATTAGGCATCAAACCATCTCCTATAGTAGCTGCATTTTCATCAAGAGGGCCTAACTTTCTTACGCTCGAAATTCTCAAACCCGATATTGTAGCTCCTGGTGTGAACATTCTCGCCGCATGGAGTGGTGTTACAGGTCCATCCAGCTTACCAACAGATCACAGAAGAGTGAAATTCAACATCCTTTCCGGAACTTCCATGTCGTGTCCTCACGTAAGTGGAATCGCGGCGATGATCAAAGCTAAACATCCTGAATGGAGTCCAGCTGCTATAAAATCTGCAATCATGACAACAGCTTATGTTCATGATAATACTATTAAACCTCTTCGAGACGCTTCTTCTGCCGAGTTTTCAACTCCTTACGATCACGGTGCCGGTCACATTAATCCTAGAAAAGCTCTTGAACCAGGTTTAGTATACGATATCAAACCGCAAGACTACTTCGAGTTTCTTTGCAAACAGAAACTGAGTGCTTCAGAGTTAGCAATTTTTTCTAAACATTCAAACAAAACTTGTAAACACACTCTTGCTAATGTTGGTGACTTGAACTATCCTGCTATATCAGTAGTGTTTCCTGAGAAAACAACCGGTTCGGCATCAACGATTCACCGAACTGTCACCAATGTTGGACCTGCTGTTTCGAAATATCGTGTGATTGTTACACCATTCAAAGGTGCTGAAGTTAAAGTTGAGCCTGATACATTGAAATTTACAAGGAAGTATCAGAAGTTATCTTATAAGATTAGTTTCAAAGTTACAACAAGGCAAAGTGAACCAGAATTTGGAGGTTTGGTGTGGAAAGATGGGGTGCATAAAGTAAGAAGTCCTATTGTGATAACATATCTTCCACCAATGTGAAGTTCTTTCAACTAGGACTAGTTACTAGTTAAGCAGTTTTTCATTTTTGTAATAAACAAATTTTCTGTGTTTTGAAGTTTATGCATTTTTGTTAATGAAAATGTGATTGGTATGTTGTTAATGAAAATGTCAATTGAGCCGAACAAACCTAATATCACCAACAAAATAAATTTAGATTCTTAAATGTTTTATTTGCATAATTTATTTTATGGAATTTTGATAGTAGTCAAATAATTTTTAATAATTAAAATTATGATTGATTACATGTATAAAAATTCTTCATATTAAAAATGTACTATGTGAATTAAGGGTTAATTTCAATATTGTGTGAAATGCATTAAATTGATATATTATAGTCCAGTGATTTGCATTGAAAATCTGTTTATTCTTTTAATATTGATGAGATGTAATAGTAGTGAATTTATTGAGTGAGACACAAGGTACTCGTTGCATGTGAGCAACAGCAGAATAGGTTGGGTCAATTAATAACCTGTCGTTTTTATTGGGTGCAGGTTTCGGTAAAAAGCGATCATCATCTACTACTTTAAAATTTTATTGGAGTACGAGATTTTGTATGGTAAATTGTGTATTCAATTTTTAAAAGTGAAAATATTAAAAATTATTCATTGAAATATTCTTTTGGTGAAATACATTGAAATATTTAATTTATGTTTTCTTGGCCTAAATTAGCAATGGCTAAAAAAAAATTCTTTTAAATAACCAACATCTTCAAATTAAATATTTCAATAACCAATTTTTCATTATTAATTAAAATACCTATCTTTAAATAATAAAAAAATTACAATTTAGAAGAGATGCAACATTTATATGTTGAAAAATGCACATAGCTGTCATACTCTTTAACATTTACAATATTCATGTGTCATTTTTTCTAGCGCATATATTGTTGTCGTATGAGGAAGCGCCGCTCTCCCAGATGCTATAATTTATTGAGTTTTTTTTTATAAATAAATCTTCATTCTCTATTATTTTTCACACATCTTTTCATTTCATTCTTCATTTCTTTCTTCTAGATTTTTAACATAATTATTAAAAGAGATATTTATGTTTGTTTTTTATTATCAAGTCTCTGATGAAGGTTTGACTTTGGAACACTCAGACTTTCGAGAATCTGAAAAAGAGCTTTATCTGTTGGTTAGAAAGAGAAATTTAAGAGAGTAAAAAAATTAGAAGAATTGATATGCTTATTTTGGTATTCAAAAGTGCGAATGAGAATAGTAAACCAATTCGCGTTTGGGAGCTAGTTAAAACTGATAGTGATGTTTATGATATGATGTTTGGATCAGATGATATTGGTTTGATGGTTGTAATCTCTTAGATATGTTATAGTGTGAAGTCCTTTTATTTGTTCTTCGTGTTATTGTTTTCTGATATGCCTATTTTTGTTTTGTTGTAACCAAAAATTGTATTCAATATGAAATTTCATGGTTACAAAATAGTAATCGAAGATTCGACCAAGAATGAAAGAATAATTAAAACTAGATGTTATATTATAAAGTTTTTTGGTAAATTTGTATTCCCGAAACTACTAGTAATAGTGTAAATATTATGTATTTACCTTTGTTAAAAGATATAACTAAAATAGGAACATATAGTTGGGGTTCAGCCGTTTTGTCCCATCTATATAGTTTTTTGTGTAAAACGCATATAAGGATACTTGTTTATTTTATTCCTGCATTTTTTTCTCCAAGCATGGGCTGCTTGGTTGAGAATGTCGTCACTAGCCCCCGTCAACAAGAATAACTTCACATTCCCCTACACGATAAAGTAAGTTTATAGCATTATTTTCATTTACTTACTTTATACTATAAATAATTGTAAATAATTTATTTTCACTATTTCGGTTTAGGTGGTCTGTTCGAGGGATGAACTACAACAAATGTCTTAAGTACGCTATAACGGTCTATCGAAATCTTTTGGATCACCTTGGACCAAACGATGTATTACAAATACACTACTCATCATCTCATTAATTTAGTTTTAATATTAACAATTTACTAATCTAATAATAAAATTTTCCTCTACAATTTATTTGGAGGTCATATCTAGGTCTCGACCATAAAATTAACCCCAAAGATGTTGCAGTTTGAACTGCAAAAACAACAATCATTAGGTTCACTACTTGGAGATGCATCATAGTGACGGTGTCAAATTGTAGTTCAACATGCAACAACAAATCTCAAGTACCCCGACGTGTTTGGGACAATGGCATCAACTTAGACTTGTTGCCCAATGGAATTATAATGATTAGAGAGACTTCGCTAAGGATGTTTGCCGTCAGTGGAAGCGTCGTCACTACAACAAAAATGACTTTAGGCAATGGAGGAATAGACAAAACCGTCCCTATAAGTAACATAGGCTACGCATTTTTACGTGTTGACGATTTTTTTTCAGTTTTGAAAATGTAATGTAGAAAAAGGACTTGAACCCAAGTCCTTTGCTATGTAGAAAGACCTCACTACCACTAGACCAATAACGCGATATGATTTTAATTTTAATTTGAAAGTTATTAATAAATTAATATGTTCTAAAACTTGAAATTGGGGGTTGTTTAAACCCTAACTTTTCTCCTTTCCCTCATTCACGCGAACTTTTGGCCGATCTCAGTCTTAAGAAGACGTCTCAACTTGTGGAATTGGTTGACGATAGCCAAGTAATGAGTTGTTCAACTTTTTTCTTTTATATTAAATCTATTCCAATTAAATCAAATTTTGAATAACTGATTAATCTTACTTTTTATTGGTCTCAGGACATTGAAGAGCTTCTTAATTTGTCTCCTGAAAAAGTTCTATTAAAATGGATGAATTTTTATCTCCAGAGAGGAGGTTACGAGAAAACCGTAAATAATTTTTCTTCTGATTTGAAGGTTTGTTTATATATGAACACTTCTTTAATAACATTTTTATTGTTAGGAGTGTTTTGTACTCTTAACCAGTGGCGGAGCCAACGCCTGGCCAGGTAGGGCAGCTGCCCGGGCTCAACCGCCGACAACATTTTCCGGTTTAACCAAGAACATGTGCAAAGGAGTAATCAAAACCTACAATGTTAGGGCTTTGATTCCTCAGGTTCAAAGCTACAAGGCTGCAACTTGAATAAATGAAAATGGAAGAAGAACGAAGAAATCCTACTTACGAGGATGAGAAGTTCTCCGGTCTTGTAGGGGTTGATGAGGATGAACGAAGGACAAGCTCCACTCATGTAAGTATGAATCTATTGCTCCTTCTTCTCTCCAATTCTTTCTTCTTCTTCTCCAATCTCTTTAGCTTGTAGGTTCTGAATTGTTGATTATTCTATGATTGGTGTTGTGTTGTTGTTGTGGCTTGAAGTGGTGTTGTGTAATTGTTCTTGCTGCTTCCTTTATGAGTGAGAGTCTTGAGAGATGAGTGATTTTGTTGCCCTTATTCTGCTTGCGTGATGCGTGTTTTGTTGCGTGAGTTGCATTGTTGTGCGAACTGCTGCGAGTTCTTGAATAAGAAGTTAATCGTGGTAATTCGTTTACAGCAGAGAGGGCGTGAGAGTGAAATCCAAGCGTTGAAGTGATGAAGATGAACGAATGTGCAGAATTAGAATTCAAGGGAAGTGTGGGAATGAACGCAGAGAGAGGATTTGGTGATGACTGAAAATATGCAGAGGATTTGGTGATGGCTGAAAATATTCTGATGTCACTACGCGATCTATCTGCTAATTTTTTGCTCAATTTTGTTTTTGCTATTTTATGGTTACACTATTGGTTTATTTGTATGTTGTTGTTGTGATTTGTTGAAGCTGATTTGATTGAGAATTTGGATATGATAAATCGTCGTATTGATGTGTTTGAATTTTGCTAAATGAAAACAGGTATCTGGACCTGTCGTGGTTGCAGATGGCATGAATGGGGATGCTATGTATGAATTGGTGCGTGTCGGTCATGATAATCTCATTGGTGAAATTATTCGTTTGGAAGGGGATTCTGCCACTATCCATGCTTTGGAATGCTATCATATTTGGGTGAGTTGGATTGGTAATTGTATAATTTAGTCACTTTTGTTTTATTTTATTTCACTTTGTTTAAGTATGAATGGATAAGCAATTTCTGCTTTCTTGTCTGCTTTGGATTGCAGTCCTGATGATACTCCATGGGATGGAGGTGAGTCAGTTCTTTTCTACAGCTCTTCTCTGTAAACAATGGTGATACAGGTGTCAATTTGGTTATTTAGCCATCTTGTGTATTTCTAAGTATTTTTAATCATTATATTGTATTAATTGTTTTATTTTTTGTTATATTAATCGAACTTGGTTTTTTCGATGGCATTAGAGTTTTGTTGCAAAGATAGTTGTAGTTCTTCCATTCTCTAAAATAATTTGGGTTGCTTGATAGGTATCTAGGCCATCTTAAAATTGAGTTTCTTTCTTCTAGGGCTTTGGCTTTGTGGTTTGATGCTTTTGTTCTTTGTTTTTCATTATTAGTTTTAACTCTTGTCTGTTATGTTGTCTCTACCTAATGTGCCTCTTAAAGACTGCACTTACTCTCTATTGAGATATATATGTTAAGCTAAATTATGTTTCCCCATCAAAGTTCAAACCATGTAAAAGGGTGCTCTTGCTCAAGTAGTTGAATCATGTATATATTTTTATGTGATGTTTATGTTATGTGTTTTGATATTATCATGAAATTAGATGTGTTTACATAACGACATGTCTACTTTTGAGTTATTCAGGCACATTTAAGTTGACTCTTCAGTTTTCTGAGGATTATCCAAATAAGCCACCCACTGTACGTTTTGGTGAACTGTACAATTCATATTGGTGATAAGGAATTGCAGTATTCATGCACGTATAGCATGATTTATTGCTATTTGTGGATTTATAGTAATATAGGAATTGTTGGATTGCCGAATCACTTCAAGTCATGCTTGAGTTGTTCAATTTTAATAGAAGAAAAAAAAATGAAGCGCATAGTATATTTTATATAATTAGCCTTGCTTTAGAGGTTTGGCCAC